CCTTATCTTCATCTTCAGTACTTCGAGGCGATACCATTTCCTCCAGAGCTCTTATATGTCGTGAAGACATTTCTAGCTTTTATTCTGGCTACTTGCTTTAGTGACAGCCGCCTCAGGCTGCTTTATTACCCCCTCCACAATATTCAGTTTTAGAAGTTTCCCCTAACAATAGTTCCTATTCATTTCGTAATTGCCTTGCGCTGCTCTTATGTGGACACCAGCTCTAATTATCTTTCCCAGCCACGAACTTCGCCTTCGGTTCTATTCGTGGCCCCTTTATTGCGGGCGAACTTTTCTACTGTCTGAACTTGTTGGGCCTTTTCTTCAGAGCTTCAAGCTATGTATCAAGTTCTGTCTTATTTCAACTCTCATCTAATTTGGAGGAGCTTGCTATATGCCTATCGCAGCTTGGCTTGCAGTTCCGCTGCTGTCTTTTTCTCCCCATTCAGTGTACTTTTGGCCGCTTCTGCTTGGCTTATCTGCCATTCTGAAAGCATTACAGTTCTTGTTGCTTTCTACAAATAGAGTTCCGGGCTGGCGGGTAACTTTGCAGGAATCATTTTCATGCAGTCTGTAGTGTCGGTAGCTGCCTTTGGAACCTTAATCTGCAGTGCAGATCTGCCGACTTGTGCAAAAAATACTAACAACTACTTTGCTTACCAATGCTTGGAAACTCTAAAGGAATGGCGCTGCATTTGCTTACCAAAGCTGATGCCTCCAGCGGATCACCTCTGTGACACTGCTCTCTAGAATTCACATGTGGCCTATTGGTACTACTAGATTAGATGTGTTCGCGCGATTTAAGGGAATTTTCGGAGAAAACTGTATATTTACATTATGGCAACAGCTGCTTCTTCCCTCCCTTCCGCATTTCATCCCAACTGATATACCATGTTACGTCGCACAAGGCTGGGGCTTGTTTGGCTACTTTGTTCCACGCTTCATCACTCTTTTGGCATTATTCATCACTCATGAAATGATATACTTTCACATGCAGGCTGCCACTTCTGAAGGTGTGTTGCTTGGGAAGTTAGTGGACTATGCCCCGAGCAAGAGTTAGGCAATGCTCAGTGCCATTCACGTCGAAATTTCAATTTAGAAGTCAAAGGTATAGCAAGCGCAGCTATTTTTCTCACTCAATGCTTGTTTTTAATGAAAGCACGCGGTTACCGTCACTGCTTGCGCACAGGCTGTCTACTGATTTTGCTTTGGGAGTGGCTGAGATTTGTGCCATTCCTCGAAGATTTTGGCAATTTTGGCAGAACACTGATCCAACCTTTCAGTGCTTTTCTGTGCTTCGTGCTTTCTCCACAATTTTGCTTGGCAAGGTAAGATGGGGATGCGTTGTGGCCGTCCACAGTGCATGAGGCTTCAAATTTCAAGTGCTTGAATATCAGAGTCGTATAGCCCAAGTCGCACGTAGACTGCCGCTCTAAGGGAATTTTTGCCCGAAATTAGAGTAAATGTCCTTCCGTTTGTCCGAATATATGTCTTCTTTTCTACTTATCTGAATCTGAGGAGTAATTAAAGTTTGGGTCAGTCTGATGTAAGACCAGCCATAGTGTTACTATTCAAATCCCCTGCCCACGATTGGAAGCTTTCAGGTCCCTCGTTTCACCTGCATACTCTGTGGCTTAAGAAAAGTAACCTTTTCAGGCCAAACGTTTAATTTCCTTAAAGTCTTGAGCTGGCCTTCTAAAAACGAGGCTCAAAACCTTTGAAGTAATCAATTGAGCCCTCGCCTTTACGATTTCCCTCAAAAGCTTGCAACCGAATTCTGTGCCTACCCAAGTTCTAGCGGGCAAGGAAATGTATACTGCACGCTTCGAAGAGGGTTTAGAAGCGAAGCTTGACTGGATGACTTTGCTAGTTCCATGCACCATCAAAGCTCTGCTCTCGCCATGAGCCTTGAGATCGAACATTGCAGCATCTCTCAAAAGCGGTGGCAGTCAATAGTAGTGTGGCAGATCTTTGCCATTTCCCCAGTTTTATGGGTGGGCGGTTTCATTGCCGTTACATCTGTAGGGGCAAACGCTGAGCTGTTCCGAATTTTGCTGCTGCTGTGCAGCTTATCTTGTTTTGGATGGCCGTTGTTGTGGGCTTTTGCGGAAAGTGGAAAGTGATTTGGTAAGACACACAAGACGAGGGGCCATCCTGTGTCGGTCGAATGATACTGCATCTATATGGACTTTAAATCACTTGCGGTTCCCCTCTGCACTTAGGGAAATTATTCAACAGGACAACGGGAAATTGCTCTTTACTGCGACATCTGCGCGAACTACTACCTTGAACATTAGTGCTTCCATTTTAGATATCGCCTTTTTCTTTGGCTGCAATACGCTGCTTCCCAAATGACTGCAAAGCGCTCTGCTGTATTACTGTGCTTCCTTTGCAAAGGCATGGTTTCACAGATTGCATTTTCGACACCGGCTAGGCGGACGAACTGCATTCGCTTGGAGCTCGTGAAGAAGAGCTGAGCTATTGAGGCTGCACGAACCGGCTAGAGAAGCAGAGGCTTTTAATTCCAAGTTCTTTCTTTCCTTGCCGAAGTACACAGAACAGTCTTTACGAGTTTCCTTCTGAAAACTGAGGCGACACCGCGTTGCTTGACCATTGTGGCTCCACACTTATCCACATGCCGACTTTTTGCAGCCTGATTCCCACAGTCGAGTTATACCGACTAAATTCGCATTTTGGCGATTATATAAATCTTCAAAAGCTTACGAGAAAGCCCACCAGCAAGCGAGCTATTAGAGCCAAAGTCGCCAAAGGCCTAGGGCTCATTGCCGCAGGGCTTGAATGTTGGATGGGGGAGTTGTGATGGGTTGCTTTTTGCATGAAAGAATCAAATGTGTCATTCTGAAGAGCATTTTTGTCATGTAGGCAGCCACAAACCTCCGGCAGGAATAGAGGAAGTGTTTGCTGCGATTACTAACAGCTGAGCTTGGAAGCCACATTTGAATTTCACACTTCCCTGCAATAACAATGAATGCTTTACAAGCCCTGAGTGGCACACCGGGAAAGCACTCACACCCAAACTTGCGAGCTGTGCTTTAAAACAATTCGAACTTTGTGCTTTTCTGGATGTATTCCCCAGCTTTCCAAGTTTGGCAGAGCTGTGTGCTGCGGCAGATCAAGCTGTGCAGGGGCAGCTCGAGTTCAAAGAACTTTTGATTCTGAAAGCGTTTACTGTTCTAAATCGAATTTATGTGCCACAACGGCTTTCACTAGCCACCAAGCTTTGCCCATCTAGCATGAATCTGTTGAACTCGAAATCCCTCAGATATAGATTTCGCACTGGCAAAGGTCTTTGCGAATGCAAACGGCGCCAACTTGCAGCGCTACTTAAAATGCTGGAAACACATTTAAGCGAAGAGGAGGACCTGTAGCTACTCTGCTCCAGAGGATTTCTTTGAAACAGTGAGTTCTGAACAAATCTGTTGGAGTCCTTTCTGTTATGCACTAGAAAGCGGAAAGCAGCTTCGGATACCGAAGATCAGACTATTGCTTTTGTTTCTAAACAGCAGGCACTTGAAAAAACTTTAATGATTGCGTTTTCGGTGTAAACTGTATTCTAACTATTAGGCTGACGCGGAAACATCTGCCAATCGAGCGCGCCGCAGGCAGCAGATGCCCTTCGATAAGCCTTGTGCTGCATAATTTAGTAATGCCTAGCATTAAATTTTCTCAATTTTTGTCATTTTAGAAAGATGGAGCTTTGATTTTATTCTTTCTGCCCCCCCTCAAGAACTCCCCAACCTGTGCAGAACCACCGGGTTGCTGCAACCCTCAGAGGGTGCTGGCGGCGCACTCGCCGTGCTGCCTTCCAGACATTACAAATTTGCGAAAATAAAAAGAAAAGCTGCTGGCATTTGCATTGGGAGCGGCTGGAGTCGAAGTGCTGCAGCCAACAGAGCCTCCGAAGTGGAACTCTGCAGCAGCTGCATCGGACAGAAGCTGCTGCTTTCTAAGGCGCTGCAGCAGCTCTTCTGAAAGGCATTACTGCGGTGATCAACGCGAAGGCGCTGGGGGCGCAGGGGCAGGTATTTCCTGCTTCTTTCCCCCTGTGACTAGCCGCAGCTAGCCACTGCAGGGCTGAACAGCAGCTAGAACTCCTCTAAAATGCTTCAGTTTTGCGTTTCGAATTGAATTTTAGTTTATTTCTGCATTTTTAATGGAGTAGTTCAGGCCCGAGCTGCAGCGGAGAAAGCTGGGCATCTAGCGGCGAGGTCCAGTGGCTCGTGGCAGCGGGGTGGGGGGTTTGTCGCTTGCCCGCGATTCAAGTAGAAGGAGCTTTTTTTGAATTAAAAATCTAGAAAAAGTTGAAAAGTGGAATAATATTGGAAAGAATTTGCGGTTTTTTACTTCGCGGGGCAAAAAGAATGCAAAAGAGGCTACAGCATCTGGAAGTGCCGTGGAAACAAAGCACACCGAATCAGTCGGAGCCTGGCAGCTGTTCCTGGCGGGGAAAAGCAAGCTACTCGACCCACAGTACAAACTCCTTCATTTTGTGATCTTCCTTTCTTTTATCTTCTCGATTAGCGTTTTTAGGTAAACTCTGCGGCTTGAAATTTCAGCGACAGGACGGGACCACTGTGTGCACTGTCACGGATTCTGTGTGTTGAGCGATTCGCGCATACAAGTATGTCGTCGGCACGGGAGATCTCAAAACAACCCGTTCCCTTTTTCCTAATTTGCATTTTTTAGAATTTTTGTGTTCTTTTGGGGGGTCTTGGCGGGAGTTTGTGGCGGCAGAGGCGTCCAGTGGGAGGCCGGAGCGCCTTCCGCCGTGCAGCGCGCGGCGCGGTGGTTGTACACCTCAAACCGCAGCTGCAGGCGTTTTATTGAGTTCGTTTAAGTCACTTTTATCGAAAGAGAACAGAAGAGCAGCAGCAGAGCCCCGGAGTTGCTGCTGCAGCTCCGCAAAACCAGCTTTCTGTCTGTGCTGCTGCGCCGCAGCCGCCCAGCCAAGCTCTCGCGGCGCCGCCGCGCCAGACACAATGGAGGCAGTCAACAAACTCTGTTCCTGCAGGTTCGAGCCCCTCGTGGAGGTCCCGGTGCCGGAAAAGGCGGTGGTCTGGACTTCCAAGAACTACTACGATGGCACAGGTCCGGCACTGCTGCTGCTGCTGCTGCTCCTGCTGCTGCTGCTGCTGCTGCTGCTGCTGCGCGCAGCAGCAGGGTTTAAGCTGCAGATGCTGCTGCAGCGCGCAGCAAAGGGCTCCAAGCCGCTGCTGCTGCAGCACGCAGCAAAGGGCTTAAAGCTGCTTCTGCTGCTGCTGCCGCTGCTGCTGCCGCTGTTGCTGCTGCTGTTGCTGCTGCTGCTGCTGCTGTCGCTGCTGCTGTTGCTGCTGCTGTTGCTGCTGCTGTTGCTGTTGCTGCTGCTGCTGCTGCTACAGCGCGCAGCAAAGGGCTTTAATGAATGGGCAGCTGGAGGGGCGGGGGGAAGGGCGGCGTGGGCACAGGGTCTTGGGGTGTACGTACACCGTGAAGTTGGTTGTGTGGGGCGTGGCGGCGTCCTTTCTTGGAGTTTCTGGGCTCATTTGAACTGCATTTTTCGAATTAAGGACTATTTTTGGAAATAAAATTGTTAATTTGCGTTTTAAAACGCGTTTTGCCTTCGTTTCAGGCTGGGTGGGGCTCCCGGACAGCGAAAAGCTGAGCCTCAAGCCCACCCTCTTCGCCGACAACAGGCTGCTTTTCCTCGAGCCCGTCGACGGCGTCTGCGAGGCCTTCAGCAACGTCCAGTCCGGCAAGTACGACGTGAAGGTGCGCAGCAGTTAAGGACTTGCAAGTTTAAAGAATGCAAATCTCTTCAACTTTAAAAATAAATCATTCAAATAATTCAAATAATTCAAATAATTCAAATAATTCAAATAATTCGAATCATTCTAATAATTTAAATCATTCAAATCACTCAAACAATTCAAAAAATGCAAACAATTCAAGTAATTCAAAGAATTCACAGAATTCAAAGAATTCAAATAATTCAAAGAATTCAAATAGTTCAAGTACAATTCAAATAATTCAAATAATTCAAACAGTTCAAGTACAATTCAAAGAATTCAAAGAATCCAAGTCTCCCCGCACTGCACTGCAACTCGCTCCCCTCCCTGCTGCTGCTGCTGCTGCTGCTGCTGCTGCTGCTGCTGCTGCTGCTGCTGCAGTGCTGGAGCAAGCTGGACTGTCACCTGGGGATCGAGGGTGACCAGAGCGTATTTTTGTCGACTCCTCAGCTGCAGCAAGTTGCGGTGTACAGCCACCCGGAGCGGCTGCCAGCTTTCCCCAAGTCCTGGAAACCCCTTCTCTTCACTTTGAATTCTTCTGCAATAACTTTCCGGCTCACTGACACGCTCTGTCTCGTAGTGACCATCGACGAAAGCCACACCCCCAAAGTCCACTGCGTGGACTACAACGGGGGCTTCGCTTTGTCTCACCCCGCGAGCGGGGCGGCGCTGGCTTACGGGAGTTTGGCCGTGCGGGGCTTCGAGTCTTTGCCGAATTGCGAAATAATCCCAAGACTGGCCTCAGCCGCTGGGGACTGGGGCTTCTTTGTGCAGCTTTTTTCGTGGGGATCGCTGATTTTGGCTAAGTCCGTGGACTTGGCGCGGCCAGCGAGCTTCCTGGGCCTCGGACTTGGCAAAAAAACGGACTGCCTCGGCGTGCTGCTGCTGCCGCCGCGGCTGGCCGTGCTGCTGCACCTCGAGACCCCCAAGGTGCAGCGCAGCCTGCAGCACGGCCGGGACTTCTTGCTGACAGCTAATAAGACCAGCGAAACGGACTTGGAAATATTTTTGCTGATGGATGGCCAGCTTTCCGTCTTCAACTACTCCTTCGACTTGCGCCTGAACCGCCCCGACAAGCCCCGCCACGTGGACAACGCGGCCTTCAAGGGAGTCCTCGAACTCGACGAAAAAAAGAAATGCAGCAGATTTATTTTCCAAAACTCAAAAAACTCCAAAGTCCTCGTGGCTCAGGGCTGTCCGTTGCCTGCGGGCGACCACCTCGTCAGCAGCTCCCTCATTGCCGTCTTCGACGCCGAGATCTGTCAGTTCAACTTCTTCCTTTTTTCTTCTTTTTTTTCCTTTTTTTTCGCTCCTTTTTGCTTCTTTTCTCTTCTTTTCCTTTTCTAATTCCATTTCAGAAAATCTCTTTCAAAAATATTCCTCTTTTCGCCGGCTTTCCGCGCCTTCTGGCCCTCTCGGCCCGCTTTCTTGCCGTGCAAGTTCAAGTCTGTGGTCTTTCTTTTCGGATTTTCTGTTTTTATTTTCTTTTTTGAATTTCTCCTTTTATTTTCTTCTTTCTGCTTCTTTATTTCCTTTATTTCCTCCCTCCTTTTGTTGCACTAACTCCTCCTTGGACAGTTTTGCTGCTGCTGTGCACATTCTGCTGCTGTTATAATTGCATCCGTGTTCATTTATTTCAATTATTATTAGTGATAATAATTATTGTTATTTGTACTCATTGTTGTTAATTGTTTTTAATTGCTATTTGTTGCAGTTAACAACAATTCAAATTGCATGCGCTGCGGTGCTAAACTCGTCTGCTGCTGCTGCTGCTGCTGCTGCTGCGTCGCTTGCTGCTGAACTCGTCTGCTGCTGCTGCTGCTGCTGCTGCTGCGTCGCTTGCTGCTGGACTCATCTGCTGCTTCTTTTGCTGCTGCTGCTGCTGCGTCGCTTGCTGCTGGACTCATCTGCTGCTTCTTTTGCTGCTGCTGCTGCTGCAGGCATGTACATGACGCACCCCCCCGCGTTGAAGCTGTGTTCTGCTTTTAACACGGTGGCGCTGCCAGTGGACTAGAGGCCCGTGAGAGCAGCAGCAGCAGCAGCAGCAGCAGCAGCAGCAGCAGCAGCAGCATCTCGAGAAAAGTTCGAAAAGTTATTTCTGAAGTTTCTGAAATCTGTATTACACAGCGCAGACCCGAAAGGCAGCGAGGAGGAAAGTTGGCAAGCAGTCGCGCGCTGGGGAGCGCACCCTGCTGCTGCTGCAGCCGCTGCTGCAGCTGCAGCAGCAGCAGCAGCAGCAGCAGCAGCAGCAGCAGCAGTCTCAGGCCCTCTGCAGCCCGTCTTCCCCACCGACAAGCCCCGCGGCGGCAGTTTTGCTGCAGCAGCAGGAGGCGCCGCGCAGCGGAGGCGCTGGGCCCCGGGGGCCCCCGCTTGCGGCTTTGCTGCTGCGCTGCAGCAGGTGGGGGGCCCCCGCCTGCGGCTTTGCTGCTGCGCTGCAGCAGGTGTGGGGCCCCCGCAGTGGTCCACTGGTCACCTATTTGCGTAGTCTAGCGAGACGGGGGGAGCAGCAGCAGCGCGCGCTGGGAGCAGCAGCAAACGGACAGAAGGGCCGTTCGCCTCCCCGCAGTCGTTGGCTGCTGCTGCTGCTGCGCTGCTGCTGCAGCAGCAGCAGCAGCAGCAGCAGCTGCAGCGGCAGCTGCTGCTGCGCCTCCCAAGCGCCTGACGAGGCCGTTTGGCATTTCCTCGTGGCTGCGGCGCCGCTGAACTTGAGTTGCATTGGAAGCAATTAAAAACATTAAAAATAAATAGTTGTTTGAGCGTTTTTGGAAGTTGCAGAGCCCGCTTTCCCCGTGCGCGCGGTGTACGTACACCCCGCGAGCTGCACGTACACCCCGCGAGGTGTACGTACACCCCGCGCGGTGTACGTACACCTCGCGGGGTGTATGCGCAGCTGCGCAGCTGCGCGGCTCGCCAGAAAGCCCAAGTGGAAAGGACATTTAAATTCAAATTAGTTTTGAATTTGGGGCCTTTTAATTCCCCGAAAAAGCCGAAAAAGTGGCGGAGTTTCGCCGGAGTTTTCGCTGCGCTTTCGCAGGCCGGCTTGAAGTGACAAACAAAAGAAAAAAGAAACCAAATTGAAAACTTGAAAAGAACCATTTAATGCAACTCGAAGAAGAAATGAAATAAAACGGCAAAGCCTTTGCACTCCGAAACAATTCCTTTCGAAACTTTATAAAATCAACTCCCCAGTCCGGGGCCCACGAACCCGCAGCCAAAGAGCTGCAGCAGCAGCAGCAGCAGCTGCTGCTGCTGCTGCTGCTGCTGCAGCAGCATGTACCGCCCGTGACCACTGGTCACGCACCACTGGTCACCTCGCTGCAGCGGCTCCCCAGAGCTCCAGAAGGTCCCAATTGAGCCGCTAAGACTGCTGCGAGCTCCGCTGCTGCCTTTGCTGCAGCAGCAGCAGCAGCAGCAGCAGCAGCAAGGTTGGATGGAGGGCTCTTTTGGCCCTTCAGTTGCCACTGGAGAGACACGAGCAAGGGCACAAGTCTTCTTCCCTTTCGCTTTGCGTGTCTGTCTCCCTGGCTGCTGCTTTTTGCTGCTGCTGCCTGCTGCTGCTGCTGCTGCTGCTGCTGCTGCTGCCCGCAGCAGCAGCAGCCTGCTGCAGGCCGCGGGCGAGCTGCAGCACGTCCTCGACGAGCTGCTGCTGCTGCTGCTGCTCCAAGTCCGCAGGAGCTGCCAAAGTCTTCACACATTCTGTGAAGCAAGAAATCAAAGTCTGCAGCGCGGGCAGCGAAAGAACTGGAGAAGCAGCAGCAGCAAGGCAGCAGCAAATTGCTGCTTCTCTTTCTGCTGCTGCTGCTGCGCTGTAGGCCAGCGAAGACACGCAGCCCAGCAGGCTCGACAGCAGCAGCTGCAGGCACCGCCGGTAGTACGGCAGCAGCAGACTCTCCACGCACAGCTGCTGCTGCTGCTGCTGCTGCTGCTGCTGCTGCTGCTGCTGCGCGGACACTGGCGGCCCCGCCAATGCGGCCTTAGCAGCAGCAGCAGCAGCAGCAGCAGCAGCCGTGGAGCCGCCTGCAGGCGAAAGGAGACCCCAAGACAGCCCTTTTTCGGGCTGCTGCTGCTGCTGCTGCTGCTGCTGCTGCTGTTGCTGCTGCTGCTGCTGCTGCTGCTGCTGCTCAGAGCTGCCGGGGGAAAGCGGGCAGCTTTTAACTGAGAGGGGCCCCTCCCCAGAACTGGGGGGCCCCCCAAGGGGCCCCCAAGGAGAGTTGGGGGCGCACTGGAGCTGTTTCTTCTCTGGGGGGCCCACTGCACACAAACCCTAAACCCTAAACCCTAAACCCTAAACCCTAAACCCTAAACCCTCCTAAGCATTAAACCCTATCAAGCCCTTCTAAACCCTAAACCCTAAACCCTAAACCCTCGGCGGTTGGTTTCTCACGTTTTCTTTTCTTGGGGCTTCTGCAGGGAGCTTTGGCCCTGGTGTAAGTCTCCTGCTGCAGCTGGAGTCTGCCGAAGTCCTTTTCTTCTGCTGCTACGCGTCTGTCGCTGCTGCTGTCCGCAGCAGCACTTTCCGGGGTGCTGTTAAGAATGACAACTTTGGCGCCGAAGGCGCTGACAGCGTGGCCCCCGGGGGCCCCCCCCCCCTTGCTGCTCT